ACAACAATCGACAATGAAATGATCAATAATAGAGTGTATTTGATAGAATGAGAATTTGACTTTAATTGTTGAATGAAATGAATGAGAAATTAGCAGAAGAGAACACTTCTGATGATAAAAGCTATGAGAGCGATTATAACAGCAAGGAAAAGAATGAAAACCCTGTTAAAACGAACGAAAACCCTGTTAGGCCCGAACGAGCTAATGATACTCAGAAAATATGAGAATAGAGAGTGTTTCCATCAACTAACCGCATTTACATATCCGAGTTTAAAAACATCATCATAATGGCGTTCTGTCACAACGTAACAACTGCACGAGACACTAAATTCTCGACTCCCCTTATTGCCCCCTGACACTTTCAAATTACCCTAAATGGGTAATTTCATCCCTATGAGAACCACTGCATTAGATAATCGTAAAGACCAGTGTTGATAATCACTTAAGAGTATGTTTGTGCTCATCAGAATGCCCTAAATTTAAGGCATTCGATGTGTGGAATTCACAGCTGAACACAGCCATAACCGTGCTCTGCTATATCTCGTCGTGTGCAAATCCAATCACGTACTGTTTCTTGAATCAAAAGTTTCGCAGTGCACTACTGCTCACATTCGGATGTCGTAAAGCAGCACTGCATCGACATCACAATTTCCAGAACGTTTACGTCAAGACAAACGGGTGTTCACCCACCGAAGAAAGCAATAAAGCAGCAAAACTCAGCGAGGCGAACGACGATTACTCGTCGCGATCACGTAAAAAGTGAACCTTTTGTTCATCGTTATAGCACTTTCAATACTATTTGAAATAATAGCTTACTCATTCAGTCACTATGCAATTACGACGTGTTTCTATAATCAGCGAACGTCAGGCTGTAATTAAGTTGTGCAACATCAAAGTGTGTGGTGTGTTATTATCACTTTGTTGTGATAATCTCGAGAGTTGAGATTATCACAGCAAAGTGATAATAATGTATGAATGATGAGGGTATTGTTTGAAACGAGATAATATTTCATTCATGATAAAGCGATATGACATTACGTCTCTGTAAACCAATCATCTCATTCTGTCAATCTGACACAATTACTCTAATTTTACACTGTCGTTTTTCATCCTTACTGCTTTCATTTGCTCACTCACTTCTAAAGAAACGTCGTTGAACTTGGGATCAGCTGAGATAACCAGTGCGAGAATATTTCAGGGACTGACTGTAAAAGCTAATGATAGTGCATGTATCCAATGAATCATTCGGCAATTTGCAATCGCTACCGATCGAGCTCAATCAAAATTGAAATATTTTCAGATTGAGAAAGAACGGTGTACATATTCGCTGCCCTTCACGAAATAATACGACGCCCTCACGACAGCGTGTACGTTTTACTGCCGGCAGTAACAGAGCTTTATAGTATTTGAGATATTGGAAACGATAATTTTTTGATGGTGACATTTATAATCATAATAATGATGAAAACAAATTTCATATCATCATAATGATGACAATAATAATAGTGATAATAACAGTGCTCATGATTACACTCATAGAAATTGGGAGAACATTGAAGGCGATTATGACATAACAAGTAAAGATTATTATTATCGTAGATTATAAAGGGTGCAAGTGGAAAAACGAGAACTCCTAGATGATTTCATGGAATGTCGGAATATGGTCCAAATTTTGAGCATGAATTAATCAATTTTGTGATTTTTTAATATCTCTCCTAATCGCTCACTGAGTTACTGTGCATTTCACAACATATCAACTCATCAAACAATGCTGTTGAATGATTTTCTGAACAAATAGATCAAGTGAACAAAATACATGCATAAATGCAGAGATGGACATTCACGCATTACCGCTATGCGATCACTAAAAGAATGCCTTCGTTTCCAATCCCAATCAACTAATTCAGAAGCTAATTCAGCTATTGCAATGAATTTTTGCAGGATATCTGTTTGCTAGAGGAAGAACAACAAGAGAACGTCAGTGGAGAATTGGTCGGTAACGCGAACAGTAATAACGGTGGAAGAATCGAAGTCAATTTGTGTACAAATGCCAAAGTGAATCGTGCTATTTTTGAGTCGATTTTATAAATAGAGCTGTTCGTTTGAATGAGTATTGTTGTTGTTAATGGCAGTGTCGGTGTTACAACTCTTGCGACGCATCAATGGTTGTTGCCACAACGAGTGATCGATCTCATTACATTTTCGTATAATTTTGTTGGTGTCAATGCCTTTCAGTTGAGTTTGTTCACCAAATGAACTCTTATTCAACAAAACTTGTCCATATCTCAATGATACTTCGTTATTTATTCAAATGAGAATATAAATGAAAGAGAAAAGATGTTCAGAGACTAAACGATCACATTATCCTTACATCGTTCATCACATTGAATGCGTGTTCTAATCCGTGGAGAACTGTATTGATGTTAATTGTGCCAATCAAAATGTTGTGCTATAATGAAAATCTTATCGTACATCTTATCGCACAACATTCTAATGCCCCTCAACTTTCCTGATTGTGTCCCGTAACACGTAAAAATTCTTTTATCATCAAATTCAACCTCACAAAAGTAACAAAAAACTACTCCACTTTTCAAAACAACTTCCATTCGACTCTTCTTATGTTTGTAGGATAAGTTTCTGTTTGTGCATAACTGAATCCAGCAAAACAAATTCATAAACATCATTTATCTTCGATACAAACGAATTACAATAGAAATTTCATCAACACTGAATATTTAACAACAATAAACAATTCCTATACAGTAACAAATTCATTCCAAAACCTACAATTATTGACGAGTCACGATATACAAACATGAAATTTCTAGAAATGGAACAGCTTCAAGATCACAGTTCTCGGAATAGAATTCTGACATAAACAATTTTTACCATACAATCTCCCGGTTACAACCATCATCTGCATCCATCAACTATTAATTATTGAAATTCTCATGTGATGAAACAGTGCGAAACTTTCGATAATGGCGTTTCACCTTTCAAGATGCGATGATAAAACTACAATCTCATGTAGGAACTGCAATGGTTTTCTGTTGAAGGATCACTCATCTGGTGAAATATAGAGTATCTGATGCAATATTACTGAACGATTCTAGCAGCAGATACAGTTTCATAGAGATCATCACTTCGCTACAATCACAGATAAATGTTTGCGTTTTGATCGTGCAATGCGATGACTTTCGTGATTGTTGCTCCACGCACCACTGCTCTCATTCGCATAATAATCCATCGCGTACACTGGCTTCGCGAACGAGATCTCTTCCAACGCGGCTATCGCCTCGTACGGTGTTAATAAAGGCTTTGCGAAGGCACTGCCCCAATCGATCGACAAACGCGGACACGCAACTTGTACCCAACTGAAACACCGAATCCACTGAACATTTCATCACGATAATCTAACGATATTAGAGAGAACACTTAAAAAGTTTGATCACTAATGGATTCGCTGTTCTGTGAAGAACATAACTGTCATAAAACACTTTTATAATTCCACAACTTCAACACACACTGGCTGGTACATTAACGAATCATTAAGCTATAGCTGGAGTTGTCCGTCAAATATTAATGAATGAGTGACAACGCTCATCTCCAAAAAAGGGATAATGATTAAAGTTGAGGGAAGAAGTAGGAAGGGTCTGGGTAGTCTATGAAACGAGATCAATCTTGTTATTTTGTTTTCCCGCTGCCAGAAAAAAAAAGAACACATAATGAAAATGAACCAACCAATCGATATCATCGAATAACGCCAGCTTTTCGGGGAATATTTCCGACAGAAGAATACGTACAAACTTAATACCAGCCGCTTGTAATTTCGATTCAAGAACCTTCAAAAGGAAATTCTTAAAAGACTCATCCACAGACTTCGTTGAAGCGTTTAAAATGTAATAACTAAGAGGTAATATAAAAGCGAAACATGATCACTCATTCGAACTCGTTCGTATATGAACACCCCAGATCAGGATTTCAGTGAAGATAATCTGCGATTGGAATACTTTCATTGTAACAGTACAGATTAAGAGACCTACTCGGCATTGCATCACTTCAGAAAAGACTTCTCAAACGATGAAATAAATGAAGCTGACATTGCGAATCAAAATTAATCGAATCAACACACCCAAATAAAACCGATAACGCAAACCTCAACAATTCGAATGTTCCCTTGTCGTCCGAGTGTTCCTTGAATTATACCAAATTTCTTTGCCGTTTTTGCTCTATTCACTGCATCACTTCTGATTTGCAACATTCGCTCATAATCGTACACTTCATGGGTGAGTTTCCTTTAACGAAATGAATAAATAATTTCCAAAGTGAGTCAATATTTCTGCTGGGACGAGGGAGTGACGCTACAGGAAGACTTTTTTGTACATAGAAACTGGTCTTGCCTTCCCAAATTTTGTCAGAGAGAATGCTTCACAAGCATAGTAATAAGAATAATATGAAGGCAAAAAGACAAACCTTGAATACGGATCGTACTGGTATGCATTGATATTTGGATTGTGAATCATAATTGATTCCAGATGAAAACGTCCATCACCCAAATATCTTCAACAAAAAAAAANCACTCACTACCTTAACAACTAACTCACTATGAACTACTCTTTTTGACTCTACTCCATTGCCATAAGTATTTAACACTCACATCAATGCGGTTATATCGTTCGACAGTCGTGGAGAGGTACACCCCAGAATTTCACCAGGACTCAGCGGTTTTGACTGAGGAATGAATATCGAATAACCACATGCAGTCAATTCGGTTTTCACAGTCTAAAACAATCACAATTCTATGAGACTTCAATCCATCATCACTCTAAACTGCTCCGTCAAAAAACAAAATTTGTCGTCTCGATTCAAATCTTTCTAAATTCACACTTCAGTGATGAATAGGTGAACGTACGAGTAACCAAACTTTTGAGGAATAAATATCTAATTCAGCTATCAAACACAAGCAATCCAATTTGAGAGTTTCGGCGAAAATGGACGAAACAAAACATTCATACGTATGTGGGGGGAAAAAGAGGAAGTAAATGACACCTGTAGAGCGGCAACAAATTGTATGGTGCTGACAAGAGCCAATTTGTCGCGTTGACTGAAATTCGCCTTAAGTGTATCGATGAAATGACTTAAGTTCATATCGATATTCACAAAAATGTACAACATTGCGATACCATCGGTGTCTTGAATTGGAACCAGACAGCTGTGTCCATAGTGAACCAATAGGTCACATCCTGAAATCGTTCCACGAGGTTCATAACTTTTCATCTCAACCAATTCCTACAGTCCCACCTTTTCTATTATTGAGACATCAGTCAAACTGAAGAAAAGTAACTGAAACAAAAGCAAACTGAAGGAAAAGAACCAAAAAAAACATACGAAACGAAATGGACGTCAATAATTTGGATACTTTTGAAGGGAAAATTCACAAACTTTATTAGAGATTATAATTTTTTCACGAAAAAGTCACAACATCAAACCGAATTAATGTCTCACCTAAAGCTCGAGCAGTGTAATCATCGACGCAGCACGCACCATATGTCACATCACCCATAATCACCGTTTTACAATCCGTATACTTTTCGAGAATATCCGAAATTATGCATGCGTACAGGAGAAGACCCTCCGGGAACTGTAAGG